GACTTTTCAGACTCTGCGGGCGGAGGAGCCTCGGATGCAGCTTCAGTCATGGCTTCTTCCGTCGCTTGAGCGCCCGTCGGGGAGTCTGCAGCCTGTCACAGGTTGAGATGTAGCGTCCAGAAAACTAGCGCACACTACGAACTAGAGCTTTTTCCACCGATTCTTTAATCTCCTCGCCAGAAACAGCGGTACCTTCGTCGTCAGTCATTGGAGGAGTCTCCTGCGAAGGCTCGGGTTCTAAATGCTCCTGGTGTAAAGCAAAGTAAAATCTCAAAAATGAGGTCTAAGGTGGCTATATGCAGATGCGACGTACAGCAGGGGGTTCCTAAGTTTGAGTGAGACGAGTAGCACCATTTCGAAGTGAGTTCGGACATACGTGATGACTTTTGTGTTCTGACGAATGACCATGTGCAGATTTAGTGTCCGGCGGAGCGAGAATGTAAAATAACTGGCAAATATGAGTTGCATGTGTAACTCGGCATAGTTCTATGTGGTGCACATACCATAGGCCCAAACACTAACGCTGATCCAATCTAGTGGTGGGGAAGAACCAGTGAGCTGTCACTCCTGAGCTTTGAACAGGGATACTGCACCATCCACGGTGTGTCACTACTCCAGCTGCCGCCGTTGGTCTGAGAGCTGACGCTCATCGGACGTCTGCTGAATGCCACGCGAGGTGAGGAGTTGACCAACTTCGTTCGAAGGGTGTGACGAGAGGAAAACAGGACGCGCTGTGCAGGTCTAGACATTACAAAAGTCCTCTTTTGAATAAGTACTCGAGCGATATTAGAAACTGCAATCAGGACGTCGTCTAAAGACTGTCGAACAAAAAGACTGAACCCGACCACCGTCAGTGACGTTGCTGTTGAACTGTGTGAACTTTGCGGAGAAGACCGGATTCTCACTGGAAGGGTACTAAGTTACTTACCACTTGAACTACTCACTTTGATATTTCGTCTAGGACGTGAGCACTAACATGTGCAATATCTGGATCCAGTTTTATCGATATGTCGAAGGCTAGTGTATGGGTCGTAATCTGTGACTGACACGTTTCTCCACACGACTCTCCCCTCTATTATCCCCCAAGGAGACGACTAGATCGATAGGTTACTAGTGCTGCACTCTCGCACGTGAGCCAATCGACAACCGTCACTTTGAAATCACATCGACTCCCTCATCACTTTCGGTGTCGGGGTCAGGATTGCTGATGACCATCATTATTCTTCTGGAAGGACGCCGCTGCAAACCCTCGTCTTCACTCTGGCGTTGGATCATCTCTAGTTAATGAAGGGCTCATCGCCACAGCCGTGCATCAATACCTTTGGTGGATCCTGCCACTGCTTTTGCGCCTCACGCCACTGCGCTCGCTCTTCGACTTCTCCTCGGTTTCGGATTATCCTAGAAGGACCCTCCCTCTCTACCATTTCTCTCGATCTTGATCGCGAAAAAACATGCTGTTGGTCGTCGCCACTCTTCCTCATCCCGCGGGACCTTTTCCATCGTCTCTCTTGTGTCAGAAATTCCACTGCGCGGCTCATAAATACGCGAATGAATTCCTGAGTGGGTAGTAGACGGCTTGAGTTACGCCCCCAAAGACATCAACACATCGCATTCTCACCAGGATGGACATGTTCGCTTCGTGATTGTGCTGACCACGAGGATGCCTGGTGCTGGTGCATTGCCAGTGGAAGCATGGTATTTAACAGCGTGCGTGTTACATAGAAGCCTGGTTGCAGCCCGATTTTTCCACCCTCCGTGCAAGAGTGTAAGTTGGGGAGTCTGGACACGACTGTTGTCCGCTCCGCGGTTGGTACGCATGGCAGTGCATGGTGCTGGGCCTGCCCGTTCGCTATCGAGTGAGTGTATCTCTTCGTGAGTTGAACGACGCTGTTTTTGACGATTCGACAAAAGACTGGAGCTCGAGGCTTGTTCAATGTCAAAACAGTCACCTTCGCAGTTCGTAATTGTTATACCTCGTTCTGGCCAAGGTTCTTCCGTCATAGCGCAACAAACTGTGAAATATGCTGCGTTCCCTGTAGTGAATCCCTTCCAATGCGATGCTTGGCGCTCTCAGCTCTTTAATTTCCCGTAATCTGCTCCGCGGTCGTCGAAATCGTGTCCTCGCGCTGGACACGCTCATTAGGTGTCGGTGGCCTGTTGTGTCCTCGTGATAAACACTTGCCATGTGCGGATGCCGAAAGCTGCGGAGCAAGATCATTCTTATGCTGTTCGACACCTTCGCGACAATAAATCATCAACTTGGTTGATGGTAGCAGCGCAAAAAGCGCTTGTCGACGTAAGGTTTGGCGAGGCGCGCTGTGCGGCTGAACGGTTCTCAGGTTGTCGTCGTACGTTATACCACCACTTCACGAACAGGAAGATGTCCAAAGGTGTGGTTTCATCTCCACTTCGACTTCGAGAAGCCCAACTTGTGAGAACGAAGCAACCATCCCCTGAGGTTCGTGTGTACATCTTGAAGTGTTGTAAGCAGGGTTATCTGTGGTGCTCGAAAGTACTTCGCTTTCTCTGTCCTTCAGAGTACTAATGAATCATTTCACCCCATCGGTGTGGTTTTAGCAACTACGGTACTCTGCCCACGCCCGAGCGATGTCAGGATAAGGATAATAGTAAGTCGATAAGTCTTCACTTTCAGGCGAACACGCAGAGTCAATTTCGCTTAGCTTCCTCGTTCACCTTCTGTCCACCTTTCACCCGGTCAGACTAACCGCCACCTGTTGTTATCCAAGACACAGATCATGTCCTCCTTCCCACCTTCTATCTCGGCAGTTCCTCTATTGATTTCTTGAGCGCAAGTTAAATCGGTGCGTGTATAATTCGGAAAAGATTGCCAGAAAAAGTGAGTTCTCCCATCGTGTCACACGGCGCACTCAAGGAGGCCTCCATACGCTATCAAAGCATCCTCTGCACGTGTAAGTCACAATTGTTCTTCTAGATCTCATTAACAAATGGCCAGGACTACCCCCCCGAATCTCTACCAGTACTGGTCAACTGGATGAGGTGGTATGAGTATACGGAATGCTCCGTTGGATTCCGTGTCTGATGCCGGATACAATCGTTCCTGTGATGGCACGGCCCATGTGCCCGAGGCTGGACATGGCTGGTCAGCGAAGTCAAGTGCCATCTCAGGACTGCCTGATATCAATGATCGTCAGTAAGTCCACGTTGTCAAAAGTGACCATTCTTACTTGATAGTTCGTCAATATAGTTATCAATGTGGCTGGTACCAGTGAATCCCGGACATCTCGTCGAGTCCTGGCCAGACATACATTGCAAAAGTTCTTGGTTTTCCTTTGCGAGGTGTCTTAGTTGCTCTGCGGCTAGTCCACCGAGTCAGCTTCGATTCGCTGTAATTTCACTGTCGGACGACTTACCTTTGATTAATAGTTGGTGTCGCGTGACTCTTCCATGCGGCGTCATACCACAAATTGGCCCAATAATCTGTAGTGCATGGCGAAGCTCGGAGAAACCGTCACTCTCTTTAAATCTATATTGTCTCTGAGAGTCTTTCTTGGTTTTCTTGACCGACAGGGATCCGTGTCTTTGAGGTGACACATTCATGTCGCGAGAGACGTACTTTGTCGACTGAAAAATGGCCCGGGGAGCTCTTGTTCTTGCTATTCCTGCGTATCCCTTCTCTTATACTCCTTCGGGCTGCCGTTATTGTGCATCGCTTCAAATGCAATGATTGCTGGAATGCGTGCCCAGTGCACGCACTACTATCCTAGACGCTGACGCGCCGTTCCCGAAGATGGACAGCAATCACCTCAACGTACGTATATCCACCGGCAGATCCAAGTGGGTGACTTCGTGAATCTGAACTAGGCCGTGTCGAATGCTTTCCGCTCATCAGTCATAGTTCATCAGGTCTCCGGACTGAACGGTTATGCCTGCACTGCTAGGGTCAACATGTTCGGCGTCGCCCGCTCGCGGTCTTGGTAAAAGCAGTTATCCACGCAGGTAAGTGAGGTATACAGGTCGGGTGCACGGCTTGAATACAGGACCCGCACCTCCTGAGGTCATACAGGAAGTGTATATCACTTCTCAAGCCTGGCAGCCCTGTTACCAAACAAGCGTATTCGAAATCTCGTCATTTCGGGGAAATCCAGTTCACATCGTCGCGGTCGGGTGAGTACCACAGAATACTTCGGACACAGGCTAACGATCGACCTTCTCTGTTTCATATCCAATTCGCTCTATTAGCTAAGTGCGGAGCGCTGGACGCCTCCCTCCTTTGCACCCGCAAAGTTTCCGCTCCTTCTCGTTGCCATGTTGCTGTGTGTCGAATTCGATCGAAGGATCTCGATGCGTCGCTATTGTTATGGAGGTCGGGTGCCTCTGCGATCAGTCGAACAAGATGACGATGCTGCCGATGTCGTAGGACTTTCTATTGGATAGAGTGCAGGCGTTCGTAATCCTCATCCATGTTCGTATTGATCCTCAGCCGCACCACAAATGAATGGGGACATGAAGGTTGTCGGGATGCGGGGCCTGCTCAAAAAATTTCTTCGCAGAAGATTTCCTAGATATGCCCATCTTTCCGTGGTGTGAGCGCCCTGATTACGGTCCAAGCGCGCAGCTGCCGGAAATTTCCTCTCCGAACTAGTCCCCATGCTCTTCAAGAGGTGCCATAAAGAACGTAGACTGATGCAGTGAAATCCGCCAGGACTTTGTAGACGGCCTAGTAGATGTAATACAACGATGAGGTCGTCATTACATATATAAATATCGACTCTCACTGCGCAGCCCTCCTTCCCGCCGATATTCTCAGCCAATCCTTCCGAGGAGTTGACACTGACTTTTCTTTCCCGCGATGCCAGCCCGACGCCGCAATTAGGCCTCTTTCAAGTTTCTTCTAAGAAAATCAGTGCTATAGCCTGCTATAGTTCGCTTACCCCGTGAGTACAACGATCCAGACGGGGGATAGGACGATCTATCTGGTTATCGCACTCGGTATGTGCAAGGACCGGTCCCTGTTATGCGCCCGCCTAGCTCAATCGGCCAGAGCGTCAGACTTTTATGGCGGGCTGTTTCTGCCAGATATCTGAAGGCTGCGAGTTCGACCCTCGCGGTGGGCTAGTTTTGCTTTTGTGATTTTTGCTCCAGTACGTTTCAAGCACAAATACAAATATTCTTTCTGGCTTGGTGGGTGTCAATGACTGCATAAGTATTCCAAGTATACAGAAGCAAAAGGAAAAAGCAACAAATCATGTTCAGATGGGAGACGCATGTACTACACAGAAAATCATAACACGTCATAGACCTGGGTTAAACTTGAACGTGACACCAGGTTGGGCGTACAAGTTGGTGACGATCACATGATGGTGTGTTGGGCAAAGAGTGGCCACTCCACATTGAACATGTCTCTATGAGTGTCCGAAGGAAGCGGCAAGTTGGGGCCCTCTGACAGGGGTGCTTGGAACGGCTTGGAGCGCTACCTTGTCTTACCCGAGGTTGAATCAAAAGTAGGCTTATAGTAAATGGTTGTGAGAAACTAGAAGCAACGTCAATAAAACGGCTGAAGGAGAAAATCATGTAGAGATCACCTTGTGGCGGTATCGTATCGTATTCCCGACTGCTAAGACACCGTTGCGTATCGCACTTGTGCTGAGGTGATGCAAAACCACATGGGAGGGAACCGGCAATACACTTGCGTCATCCATCAAACCCGGACCCTCAAGCCCCAAGCGAGTGTGAGCAGGAGACGGGAGAGCCAGATGAGCAGTGGTCACGTCTGTCCCACTTGCAGTAGTTATAGGTATTGGATGTTCGAAGTCACCAAGTTTTTCCTCCTTATTGAGGATACCGGTCATACTCGGTATTGACCGACCCTGCTTTCGCCTGTGCTCGCGTTCTTTCTCCTTCTCACGTCCTTTCTCCCGCTCGCGTCCTCTTGTCGAAGCTGAAGGCTGTCCCGCTTTGACGTTGAGGATTAACCTGTCTAGGTGTCTAGGAAGAACAGGCGCTGGAGGGATGTTGGGGGCAGGAACATGATGTTGACCGCTGAGAGAGCCTGATTGATCATATTCTGCTGTATAGGCAAGATACGCTTCTTCCTCGCGAGCAGCTGCCACAAGCTCAGCAGGAATCTCATTTGTCCACTTTGCTAATCGTCCATTAGGGTCTGAAGCAGAGTGGACGTCGGCGACGGAACCGTGAGTGGAGGTAGTGCTTGACCAAAAAGAGAGAACATGGGGTGGAGCAGGCTGCTTTGCGGGCGTGGCGGAGCCTCCAGAGCCATGAGGCGGTGTCAGACCAGACATTGGTACGGCAATATAATTTGCGAGACTGCCTTCATCATCGACCGCAGTGGGAAGATCATCAGCGATCCGCCACTGTTCGTCGACAATGAAACGAATGTGGTGCGTTCCTGGAAAGAGCGACACCCAAGTAGACCACGATGTATCAGTCAGCGAATCGCTTATACTTCGATTAGCACTTCGTTTGCCTACACATGCCCAGTAACGCACTCTGGTTCCATTGGTTGACGGCCTTTCCAATTATCATCGCCAGCACGAGCAAGTGCGACCGACTTTCCCCCTCCACGCCACGTGATTTTAACATTCATCGGTTCTTTTGGCTCATCGAACGACACTGTGGCTCGATTAGGGACAGGCTGTCCACTTTGCTCGAAATCGTGGGCATCGCTAGTTACAAGTTCTTCCTCAGCTTTCAGTAAAGCAAGGGGAATCGTTGAGTGGACCGTTTCCTGAACAAACTCCTGCTGGTGGTCGGGTTCCGTGGATGTTTCAATTTGACTCTCCGCATAGATCTCTTGCATGCGAGGCTGCGCGGTAGATTGTGCGCGTGAGGCAAACGAATATGTCGAATTGTACCGCAAGGGAACGCCTCGAAAGTACGGGCTGCCCCGGGGACGGTGGTGATGATGAACCGGGATGTGGGTGGAAGGGGGCTGATCAAGTAGCAATTCCGCTGAGTAGTTTGATGCATCGGTATCCCTTGCGATATTTGTCTTTACAATGGGCTGCCGTCCACGGGGCGAAGTTCCGGTATTTGACGCATTGTTCATAGTGCCATTGTTAGATATGGGAATCGGGATCGGAATTGGAGAACTCGTTCTTGGTGGCCGACGGTACTGTGATAAGGGTGAAGAATTTGCAGAATTTTGGTGAGAAGTTGCGGGAGTCAATGAAAGCATTGCGAGATCCGGAAGCTCCAAGGATTTTTTCTTTGTACGCAGGGAACGGTGCGGTTGGTTGGGATTAGGAGACGGGGAATGAGATTGTCTGCGTGTTGGGGAGTCAATGCGCCTGGCAGGAATTGGGGAAGGTCGGTTCTGGTTTGTATGAGAGGTCGTGTTACCCATCGTGAAGATCGTCGTACGCGTTCGCGATGACTGTCTTGAATCTCACCTTGACGTCGACCACAGTGAGCTCGATGGACGCAAGGAGAATGCAAAGGAGTAATGGAAGGATAACTTCTCGATAACATTATTAAATTAATTAATATTAATGTTATGGATGACAAGGTAACCGTCCCCTGACCCGAACCAGCTCGAAGAACAAATCTTCATGGCAGACAGTGTACCAAATTCCAACACTAACGAAGGCTCCTCACCTCTTCCGAGCGCCTTAACCTCAAACAATGTCGCGGAATCCAGTTCTGGATTCCTGATACCTGAGTCCAGAGATGCGTTCTACGGTTACAACGATGAAAAAAGTCAGCAGCACGTACGTATGATACGATCGGTTTTCTTCAGGCTAGATCTATGATTCTCGGATGTGAACAGATAGAGGAAAAATTGTTAGCTCACCGGCGCACATCTGATGTGTCTGCCGCTCTCTCCGATGGCGCTCCATCTGTCGCAGGAAACTTTAAGCTCACTGCGATTCACGAAGCCCTCCTACCTCAGAAGGATGAAACCACCAATCATACTTCTCCTTTCATCGATGATGAGGACAGAGAGCACATCATCGAAGCGCCAGTTCAAAGTGCGCTTTCCTGTGTCCCCGTCACAACGAGTTGGAATTCATATGCGTCTTAGTTCATGCATCTTTGACCCCCGAAATGACGCGTACCTTCCAGCTCTTTCAACGTTGCCTGGAGCTGCGTGATAAATACATAGCCAGGTCATTGCAGAGGCTTGGAGACAATCCAAGAGATCATGATGGTCATTTTCATGGGATAGTCGAAGGATTTGCGGAAGTCTCTGGAGTCAAACCAAACACTGACTTCGCCAAGGCCAAACTGCGGGAAAGTCCCTACCAGCCTTGGAAAATGTATCCCAAGCCCCCGCCTCCTCACTGGCACTTCACTTCCAAAGAAAAAATCGTCACTGCTGATGGGTTTGTTACGCCGGAGGACGAAGAATTCCAATTCGCAAATTGTGAAATCCCGGGAGCACAATCATGGAGTTTTGCGATAGACGACAAAGGTGTATACCAGGTCTATTCTGCCATGGAGAGTACGTCTGCTGATTCCTTTGAGATTGTGGAGTAACAAATACTCCTCTAAATGACAGATAACAGACCGCTATTCGATATTCCCTCGATACGGGAGTATTTCGTTGACCTTGACTATGTTCTGGAGGTCATTTCCGACGGACCCGCAAAAAGCATCGCTTATCGAAGACTGAAGTTTCTCGCCAGTAAATTCGAAATGTATAGTTTACTGAACGAGTCTCAAGAGCTGGCGGACATGAAAGTTCGCAACTGTTTTTCATTTTGAAACATTTGCTCACCAAAGTTTAGAGTGTGCCTCATAGGTTGGGGTGTTATCGACCTTATATCAAACTGCCTTGACATTCTAGTCATCAGGGATTTCTATAATGTTCGCAAGGTGGATACACATGTTCACCTTGCTAGTTGCATGAACCAGAAACATTTGTTACGGTTTATCAAATCGAAAATGAAACGTAGTCCTCACGTACGTTTCGTTTCTTCCGACACGGTATGGTCTGAACGCCTTCAACTTAGGATGTTGTAATATTCCGTGATGGAGCTGAATTGACATTAGAGCAAGTTTTCCAATCCCTGAAACTCAGCGCTTACGACCTTTCCATCGACACACTTGACATGCACGCGCATCAAGACTCCTTTCACCGATTTGACAAATTTAACCTCAAGTATAATCCGATCGGGGAATCTAGACTTCGAGAAATATTTCTGAAAATTGATAATCGGATTGATGGGAGATATTTCGCTGAGCTGACACGAGGTACGTAGGATTCGCGTGCTGTGGGCTTGATTCTGATTTCCTTTGTAGAGGTGATGACTGATCTAGAACAGAGCAAATATCAGGTGACTGCGTAACTTGTATCAAGTCAGGTCTTGACTTGACGCTTCCATCTAGAACTGTGAGTGGCGAGTCAGTATCTACGGTAGATCTACGGATGAGTGGGACAAGATTGCGAAATGGGTAATCAACAGCAAGCTGTTATCGCACAATGTTCGTTGGCTCATACAGGTGCCGCGATTGTACCACGTATACAAAGAGAACGGTGTTGTTAATACCTTTGAGGATATTGTCGTTAGTGAGTTATTCACCTCGATTCCATGACTCGTGTTTAAGATTTCCAGACGTCTTTCGACCATTATTCGAGGTTACGAAAGATCCGTCCTCGCATCCTGAACTTCATGTTTTCCTGCAGCGGGTAGTTGGCTTCGATAGCGTAGACGATGAGTCGAAGGCCGAGCGCCGTTTCCATCGCAAGTTTCCGTACCCCCGTCTGTGGGATGCTGAACAGAATCCTCCTTTCTCCTATTGGTAAGTTGATGTTACCAGTCCCGTGTGGTCTGAAACCGTGCTGCTGTGCTACAGGTTGTATTATATGTATGCAAATATGGCCAGTCTAAACCATTGGCGTCAGGCGCGGGGCTTTAGTACGTTACCTCGCACTTTACGGGATTTCTCTCTTTCTCAATGTACCAGACACCTTCGTGTTTCGTCCTCATGCGGGAGAAGCAGGGGACACAGACCATCTCACTGCTGCTTTTCTCACATCTCACTCCATCTCTCACGGCATACTTCTCCGCAAAGTTCCGGCGTTACAGTACCTGTTCTATCTGAAGCAGATAGGTCTCGCGATGAGCCCTTTAAGCAACAATGCCTTATTTCT